GAATGCTGTATTGTTTCCATTTTCTAACAGGGGAGGCTGGGTCCGGGAAGACTGCATCATTGCATGAGGTTAATAGGTGCAGCTGAACGTGGCATGCAAATGATGGTTCAGAGGGCTACTGAAAGAATAACTTTTGGAAAATTTATCATGGAACATGGTTCATTCCGGTCTGATGTTGCTAGAGTATGTTATACATATTGCTCAATGGAAATGTCAAACCGCTTTTAGTTAATAATAATAATAAAAAAACAGACCCACATTACGTCATCTGAAGATTACATCAAGGGATTTTTGTGCTTTACCTCTATATAATTCCCCTGGAGAGAAGGTAAGACTAGGGGAAGAAAATGAAAGGATACACCTGCAAGGATTTTGTGGGAAATTTGAATTTAAAATTCTATGGTAATAATGTGATAGACATTCTTTAATTGATGCGGTAAAGTACCCATTCGATATAAATGTTGCTATTAGGTTGAGAGGGTAATTTGGTAATAAAAATATTTTTAACTTCCCAAGGGTGGAATAAGGTTCCTTCCACCATTAAGATGGAGAATGTGCCACTTTGACTGTAAACTTTCTCAGTCAAAGTGGATAACAAGTTGTGGATAATCCAAATATACCATATGCCGTGCATGCTATATTTTAAAATGTGCATTACGAGTTCAATTGAATCAGTATTCTTTATAGTAAATAATCCTTGTCACTTTTTAAAAATAAATCAGTATTACTATAATGGTTATTGCTGTTTTATAGTAATAGTACAGTAGTAGGTAGTAGTCTGTGGTCATATACTCCATATATATTATAGTTGGTGTTTTGGTAGTGGTAATAGAAATTATCATTATTATTGCTGTTATTTATTTGTTTGTTTTATTATAATTATTATAAATTGATAATATGGTTGTTATAGGTTGTGCTAAGTAGCCATCTACAAGAAATTTAACTAAAGAACAATCCTGTTTTTGATGGGTATAGTGCCGAATAGAGCTGGAGAAAACCAGATTGCTAGTTCTGGAAGCTGCTGACAAGCTTGATAGGCTAGGTAACAAGGAGGCTCGTGGTACCATAGCAATGGCAAAGGTGAAATGATATTTGAATTGCATCTCCTTTTTTGGGGTACACACTTTGCTGTGTTGTGTACAGTGCAGTAATTGTGTGTTGGTGAGTGCAGGTAGCCGCTCCCGAAATGGCACTGAAGGTACTTGACATGGCGATTCAAGTGCACGGAGCTGCTGGGTTGTCAGGGGACACCGTTCTGGCACATCTCTGGGCCTCGGCAAGGACGCTCAGGATAGCCGATGGTCCAGACGAAGTCCACTTAGGGACCATTGCAAAGTTAGAGCTACGAAGACCCAAACTCTGATACACGTCCTCCTCAATCTCACGGTCGAAGACAGATGCATTATTACTGAAGTAAAAATATTTTCATTACTGAAGAACATCAAGGTTTAAAGCATATTTATACTCTGTGTGATATTTATAAGAAAAATAAGTGTACTCCTTGAAAATACATGCATTTCAAGGATATATATATATATATGCATTAATAATGCCTTTCAAATAAGGGTATGACTAAATCCGCCCCTTGAATGACTAAGACCACTCTTTCTACCCAAATGTACAACATTAATGCATTTCGAAGATATATGCTTCCTGACATTAATTACACCTTCAAAAATAAATGTACTCCTTGAAAATGTCAGGAGTTATTTGTCTTTTTTTACCCGCTTACTATTTTTGTCTCAATCTAAAGAATTGATTGAGCATTTCTCAACAACAAAAAAGTACGGAGTAAATTTTATTCGATTTACTTTCCAGAGTTACCCGAATAAATTATCAATAAAATGTACTATCATTCTATATTCTAGAATATAGTAATTCTATCATACAATCTCAATAACTTGAAATGAATTACGGAGTATTTATAAATAGAGATTTTGTATGATTTGGTCAATAACTTGTTAAGGATGCACAATATTCTTTCTTGTAACTATGATTATAAGTCACGGAGTATAATGATTCTTGTACTCTTTTTGTCTCTAATTTTATTCAATTGGAGATGCTTTTGTGTCGAGCAAAAAAAAAAAATAACTGGAAGATTACACAAGGGTGTATAAAAGTCTTGATTCATATCAGTTTGTGTTCCATAAATATGAGCCGTGGACGTATAGTCACCTCACAAAACCTTGAGTGGGCTTGTAAATAGAATCAATAGAACTCCCTCCTTTTGTGAGAGTCGCCAGTGACTTTGCTTCAGTTCCATCAATCCACCAAAGCAAGATATTATCTTGCGAATGTTGACTGTTGAGGGTATCATGATATAATTTGACATCATGATATAATTTGATAATAATTGATCTTGTTGAACAATGATCGAAGATTCAAATAATCTATATAAAGAATATAAAGTAAAGTATCTCTTCTGTCTTGAAATGTTTGATCAATTTTGACTTTATGCAATTAACAGTTTTCTTCTTGCAAGCGTCCTTTGCTTGTAGTTCTTTTTACACTAATGCGATTCATACAAGATTTGTATCATAGGCTAGGGGAATTGTGTCTGTAGAGTAAGCATGTGTGTACTGAGTAAAAATAATACAGTACACACTTGTGTACACATATACATACATACTCCATACTATATTATACAGAGTACTACTCTCTCCATCTCAATGTATTTATCCGCTCAATTTCTGATATGAACAAAGAAGTTGAAAATAAAAGCAAAAAGATGAGCAATATGCTCTGACATTAAATACTTCGGTCTCATAAAAAAAATTCTTTCATCTAAAAAAAAATTACTTTTCACCTCTTTAAAATTTTGCATGGCCTATATAATTTATATATTCTCTACACCACTTTTAAATATATAATTTTACTTTTTTAATCTCCGTGCTGAGTCAAACGTGGTAGCTTATTACATGACCATGAGAGTAGTTTTTTAATGTGGAAAAGAGTAAATGTGAAAATGATCATTTTACTTTTTTCATCATCAGTGTCTGAGTCAATCATGGGCCTTATAGCAACTCCAATGGAGCCTCTATATTCTGTTGAAGTCTAAAAATTAAAGTTTTAACACTACACTGTAGACAAAATTGAGCTCCAACGGATAAGGAAAAATATACACTGTGGGCTAGTTTTAACTTTAGGTAATGTATATATAAAAGATTAAGCTCATAAGCTATAATAAAAAAGTAATAAACAAATGTGAAAAGTAGGAGAGATGAGTGTTAACCTGACATGCCTAGTTTGTAGCTATCTCACAAAAAAGAGTAAAAAAGCAATAAAATATATTAAATTTATGAATAATACTCCCTCCGTACCATTTTAAATTGCCTGTTTGCCTTTTTTCTCCGTCCCAAAATAAATTGCCTGTTAGTTGTTTTCGTAAACTTTTAAAAATAAAATACCTAAACTACCCCTAAAATAAGTCACTCTTCTTCACCTTATTTTCTCATTCATCATCACCCCTTCTAAAAGGTAATGGCAATTTTGAAAAATCAACTATATTTTTTATTTTCTTTAAATATGCACAAAAATCAAAACAGGCGATTTAAATTGGGACGGAGGGAGTAACTGATATGGTTGGAGGGCATACGAAAATGTGAGCATTCAAATTACTGCACACACTCTAAAAGGGAGTTTTAGCTTTCAATTTTTTGCAGCTCCGTTAGAGGACCATGGGAGTAGTTTTTAATTAAATGTGGAAAAGAGTAGATGTTACAATTATCACACATGTGGACAAAATGATTTGCCTTTGTGATCCATATAGATCGAATGAAGAAAAGGCCATGCATGCATGCATGCAATAGCTTCCACAATGTGTATTTGATCCCTACCAAACGTGTATCGTTGTAACAAGTGATGAAGAGCAGATTGAGGCTCATTGTCTCAACCGTCAAATCTCAACCTCAAAAATATTATATTCCTCTAAGGAAATTGACCGACCACCTATAAGCTAGCTAGCTATCTAAAAATATTCTCCACCCGCTTATCTTCTGTGCTCAATATATATATAAATGGAACCCCCTCCTTCCCTTTAATCATAAGCTCTGATAGCCTGCGGGCCTGCCTGTTAAAGAAAAATAAAAAAAAACATTAGTAATTTAATCAATAAAAGAATCAATAATCTCTTTAATTTTTTAGTACATTAATTAATTAGTTGTAGCTAGTTTTGTGCTTTTTTTAAAAAAAAAAAAGTTCATATAGATGGCTGACGCTGGAAAGAAAAAAAATGTGGCCATTGCTAGCGTGGCCGCTGTGCTTTTGGTGGCGTGTGTCGTGGCTGCAACGCTGTCGGTGACAAGTAAGAAGGGGGGCGGGGGCGCGCGTGTGTCAACATCAACCAAGGCTGTCCACGCCATTTGTGCCACCACCGACTACAAGGAGACGTGCGAGACGAGCCTGACAGAGGCCAAGAACACAAGCAACCCCAAAGAGCTCATAGAGGTGGCATTCAACGCGGCCATGAAGAACCTCAGCGACGCCATCTCACACTCGGCCCTTCTCAAGGAGGCCGCCAAGGACCCACGCACCTCTGGGGCCCTCGATACTTGCAAAGAGCTCCTCGACGACTCGGTGGACGATCTCAAGAGGTCTTTCGACAAGGTCGATGGTTTCGACATGGACAAGATCGAGGAGTACGCGGACGACCTCAAGGTCTGGCTCAGCGGGGCCATCAGTCACCAGCAGGCGTGCTTGGACGCGTTCGAGAACACGACCGGCGATGCGGGCGAGAAGATGAAGAAATTCCTCAAATTCGCCGGGGAGCTCACCAGCAACGGCCTCGCGATGGTCACCCAGTTCAGTGACGTCCTGCAGACCCTCGAGATCCCCGGAATGAAGAGGCGGCTGTTGGCTCATAATGAGGCAGATGGCGGCTTCCCGGACGCTGGACGCAGACTCCTCGCGGCCGACATCAAGGCCAACGCGGTCGTTGCTCAGGATGGAAGCGGAGACTATAAGACCATAAACGAGGCTCTTAAAGCGGTCCCTCCCAAGAACAACGACACGTACGTCATCAAGATCAAGGCGGGGGTGTACAAGGAGCAGGTCATGGTTCCCAGGAAGATGAACAAGATCGTGTTCGTGGGCGATGGCCCCACGGCGACCAGGATCACGGGAAGCTTGAATTTTATAGACGGGGTGAACACATACAGGACTGCCACAGTTGGTATTAATTTTATTCAAATTCCTTTTCATCACATGCAAGAATTTAAATTAATACTCCGTAATTAATACGAATGGAAGGACTAGCTAGCTCCCTGGCCTCTAGCCTCTATATATATATATGAATATAATGCATTATATATTATTGCATGCAGCGATCCAAGGAGACGGGTTCATGGCACGAGACATTGGATTCGAGAACTCAGCTGGAGCCAATAAGCACCAAGCAGTGGCCCTCCGGGTTTCGGCGGACAACGCCATCTTCTACAACTGCCACATAGACGCGTACCAAGACACACTCTACACCCACTCCTACCGCCAGTACTACCGCGACTGCACCATCTCCGGGACCATCGACTTCATCTTTGGGGACGCCGCAGCGGTCTTCCAGAACTGCAAGATGGTGGTGCGAAAGCCCTTGGAAAACCAAGCCTGCATGGTCACTGCCCAGGGGAGGAAGGACCACCGCGGAGTGGGCGGACTTGTCCTCCAAAACTGCGAGATCATCCCGGACGCGGCCATCAAAGGGGCCAACCCGCCGGTCCAGGTGTTCCTCGGCCGCCCATGGAAGGAGTACTCCAGAACCATCATCATGCAATCTTTGATCGACGGCTTCATTGACCCCACCGGTTGGTCTCCGTGGATGGGTACTTTTGGGCTCGACACTTGCTGGTATGCGGAGTACAATAACAGAGGCCCCGGAGCTGACACATCCAAGAGGGTCGACTGGAAGGGTTACCAGAAGCAAGTATCTCCCCAGGTGGCCAGTCAATTCACTGCTGGAGTCTACCTTCAGGGAGATGACTGGATCAAGCCCACTGGAATCCCCTACGATTCTGGGATGGTCAAGACCGCCTAATAATACATATTTATAATATGCACAGACGTACCACACTGGCCTAGCTACTCACACCTTAGGTAGCTAACTATACAGTGATATGTGCTTGCCATGGTACCAAAATGCTGGTGCGTGTGTTTTTTGTTCTTTATGTTTTCTGTTACTCCCTATTATTTTATAAAGAGGGCTGGGTAGGCCGGTACACAATAGGCACGGTACCCTAAAACTGCCCTTAATTATATATATGCTCCATCTTAATTAATTAGGTCAATTCTTTCATTCTTTGTTTCAATTTCTTCAATCTCTATCTTTGAAGAATTATTGTAATTCACTACTATATTGATGTACCTACGTAGTCTTAGATGATTGGAATGCATGGATGGAGTTGTTTGATGATGATCAAACTCCAAGCCATGAATGAATAATGACACATTATTTAATCTATTCTTTTGCTTCTATAAATATATGAGTCCTATGGTATGTTTCAAGATATGGAACAATACATACTCGTTCTTTAGTCTGAAGGCGTGTTATACGCAATTCGTAAGTTATCAAGTCTTCTTCACATATATACCATTCGTTCTAAAGGGGGGAAAATATTCTATGTTATGCATCCTATGTATGGATCAGAATGAAATAATACAAGGTTGGGGGATTATCACCAAAATATATTCTTTGTCTTACGTTTTCCATTAAATGTTTGAAGAAAAGTGTCTACATGTGATTTTGAAAGAAAGGCTGACTATGGTAAGTATCAAGGTAGGTCGCACATGAGTGATTCTTAGAAAGCAAAAAATTGACCTGTAACAATGAGCTGGCCTATCGCCTACATGTAAGGAAAATAGAGGAGCATGGTGTGGATCAGATCGGCTAAGTGTGTGCCTTCCTGACAGAATTAATCACTTCCGAGCGCTAGGTACGTTGCATCTGTTCTATAGAATAGATATTCCCTCCATAGGACCTCTAAGCACACTCTCCAGCAGTGCCACATATATGAGACAAGAGAGAAATACCAAGCTCTTATTTTAATTGTTAGATTTTTCGTTTGAGCTCGGTATCCATGATCGGGCAGATTGTCACCTAGATGGTGCATCACTGAGAAGAAATGGCGTGGCATGGGTTGTCATCACAACTCACAAGTAGCTAGGAGTGACAAACACAGAAGCTTTTCTTATGACAAACGGTGCCAATGTTGGATTTATTGCTCCATTGATGGGTCCAAGACTCCAACACAACTTGTGGACAGTGCTGAGTATATATTGCTAGTAATAAAGCAATCAGAGAGGTAAGGAACACAACAGAAATTGGGAAAATGGCTTTCAATCTTTAAATCGTCCAATGGCAGTAATTCTAAAAGTACAAAGGCAGAAGAAGAAAATTTTGAGACTAACCTCAAAGTTTGAGGCTCCTACAGCTCAGAGATACAACTCGCTCCAAAATCCGATCACATTCCTGGCAAAGGAAGTGGGTATAGCCTTCAAAGCTCTAATAATGGTCTAGTCAAGTGTTGGGTTATCATGGGACAAGACTATGTCCTTCGCTGTGACTAGCAAAGGTCATGGTTGTTAGATTTAATGGGGTTCGTTCACACATAACCTTATGGGTAATGGGTCAATGTCTGGGTCGGCTACTCGGCTAGTATGGAGTCGGTTATTATATTGTGACTTTCATATTTAATTAATTTTAAAAACAGATTTGGTAGTTTCTAAAAGGAGTTAAGGGTAGTCTCGAAAACATAGGTTCTAATAATTGTGTTTGGTTTGTAAAAGTTGTGTTGGCTTGTTCTCTATATATTATAGTGAACAATAAAAAATATTCCTGTTTTGCTTTGATCGGGTCCTGCCTATCAATGGGGATACAAAAAATGAGCCATGTGATTGCTCCCTCAGTTCCTCACCATATGCTGGAACATGAAGTGTCATTTGCTCTTTCCGACTGTGTGGCGACGTATTAGTACAGATGATCAGTATTCTGATACATACCGCAGCATGTTTGGCCAAATCATACCTGCGAGCAATTTGGAGAGGTCCTATTCTAAGCCAACTCAGCAACTAGTACCTTTGTCTTGAGCCTCAAACTAACGTCCAAGCTGACTTGTCATGGTCTGACCCGAGCCTCTGACCACAGCAGCAGGCTTACGGTCTGGGCTATCAATTCCTGTATTGCAATGGGGTTAGGCCTACGATCTGGGTCCAGACCCAGTGTTTAAAAAAAATAATACTCCGTATGTTTTAATAGTTCGGTGACAGTTTTGGGCCAAAACTCTATAGGGTGTAATCCTTTGTCTAAATGTGTGTTATTTTTGGAGAAAGGTGTGTGCTTCTAGATGCTTCTAATTCATCATATAATGATGTTTTTGAGCTAACTACCCTAACTCTGTATGTGCAGGAGCTAGTGAGCTACCCATTATTATTATTATTATTATTATTATTATTATTATTATTATTATTATTATTATTACTATTATCACTATTATTATTATTGTTGTTGTTCTTGTTGTTATTTTATTTATTTATTTATTTATTTATTTATTATTATTATATACTCCATATTAAATACTCCGTGTATTAGTTTTTGAGCAAACTAACTAATTGCATCATTGTCCGCAAACTAAAATTATTTCTATTAAATTACTTCTATCTCTCTCCAATCTCAGTGGTGGGTGCATGACTGCTTGAGCAAAGAACACTCTCAGCTCGCTTAGACATTAAAAGTAACAGGGTATGCTAAACCTAAAAGGTTAAAACTCTAACGTGTTAAATTGAATTTACAAATACGAAGCACAACAGTACAACAATAATAACCTAGTTTGATCCAAAAGAGTAGGGTCTAGGTAGCGCATGTTTTAGAGACCTTACCCCTACTTGAAAGTAGAGAGGCTGTTTCCAAGAGACCCCCTGCTCGAGTAGCACATGCAAACATAATGGCACATATTGAGCATGTAAGGCATATAAAGCACAGAGCGCAAGTAGCAAAGAGAGAACTAGGGTTAATGACGGGAAAAAGCAACAAGCAGAAAGCAGAAAACGCTAAGCAAAGGAGGCACAGACGGTAAGATGAAAAACAACCACCAATCCCAAAAGTCTACCCGACTACCCTAGTCCTCGCTCTCCAGATACGAAGTATAAGATATTAAGATTTCATGCCTGACTAATTCTTTAAAGAGTACTACACATACCTTGTGCGTCTTCTTCCTCTGAGTCTTCCACTATTCTAGTTTTTGATCTCTTCGTCTTGTTAAAAGCAGCTCCATCATCGAGTTCTGATTCTTCATCCTCACACTCTGAGTCCTCCACACTAGCTGAAAAATGCCCTCCTCCTCTATTGTCTGCAGCCAATGATGCCTCATCTTCAGCTTCATTCCCTTCACTGGATGATGATTCAGTCTCAGCAACAACTGCATTATCACCATTACCATCTCTCTGCTCCATGGCAAACTGTATCTTAAAATCCCTGCAAGTGCTGCGCTTTGCGTGCCTCAACAAATTCACTTTGCTTGCCTTGCTGAGCTGAATTAGGTATTTCTCGTAATCTTCAATCTGGTAGATCAAGTCAGGGATGCATCTGTTTTCCCTTTTTATCTTGTTCGCAAATCCTTTACATTTTTCACTCTCTTGTTGTTTCTATATTTGACAAGAAAAAAACAAAAACAAAAAGCCATCAACTCACACACACATTCAGTAATCTCAACATAACTGCAACTCACCACTTGTCTTTTGTTTTCTATTTACCGTTTGCACATTTGCTACAAAAGTGTATAGGGGAGTTGTTAGCTGCCTGAAAGTTTCTTCCACGAGCTTTTGGAACTTCATACTGGGTAAGCGTTGCTTGCAGCCTTTAGAAGCAACGCAGAGCTTTGATATCCGGGCTAAATTTTTGTAAAACCTTGCACACATTATTAACAGCTGTTCTGCCTCGTGATCTGTCATTTTTGTTTATTAAAATTAATAATAACTACACTGATGTCAAGTGATAAAATTGGGATGACTTAGCAGCATCTCAAGTACTTCACTTACCCTGGAGATTCATTAATACAAAAAAGGATGCCACCTTTACAACAGCTCCTGCTCTTGAATAAAGTGTTTCTTCCATGACCAATTCTAATGTTTTTTCACCAAACTGTTGACTAGAACAATCTCTTTTATATGAACAAGGGCGTTCCTTTAACTTGATGCTGATACATTCAATGTCAGAGATAGTTGAATCAAGGAATTGCAGTATGATTGAGGCAATGTGGGTGCTAGTTGATTTGTTTATGATAGAATAAGCAGATGATATCTCTTTTGGAACACTATCCTCTTTTCCAACAACATTTAAGAGCTCTTTGGCCATGTCTTGGGCAATAATCATGTCATTTGGCGCTGAGCTTAAAGATAAAGCAAGGCTGGCAAAACTTTTAGCAACCCTGGGATTTGATACATTTCTTCTTTTGCAGATGCCCCTTGCCCAATTTCCAACAAAATCTCTCCGCTCCTCAGGCAGTAGTTTAGCGGCAATTAAATTTAAAATATTTGAAAGCACCTAATTATATGGATAAAAACATGGAATAAATCAATAAATCATGTATGTGTTACGGACAGTGTAAAACCTAAACCTTTGATGATAAGTTACTTGTCTTACCTCAACTTCAAGGAAGAAAGATTGTGCAAGTAGCTCATAAAGCATTGGCCGTATACACTTTTGAATGAATAGCTCATCACTTTTCATAACTACAGCATTGGCAGGTGCATATTCATCATTTGAACCATGATCGGCACCTCTTATTGGAATATCTTCTGGAACAGGGACAGACAACAGACCATCCATTAAATCCATATATCCGGGGTGAAGAAGACTTATTTTTATCAATTCTTTCAAGCACACTAATACTGAGTGGAGGTGCTCCTTCTTGCCATTAACACCTTTCTTCCTGCAAGCATCCTTCTTGATAAATTTGTCAGAAATAGATGCTGACATAAGAAACCAAGCCATCTTCAGCAATGGGGGTCCCAATTGTTTGATATCGCCATATACCAACATCTTCATTGGGTCCTCTTTTGCCGCAGAATTGTAAGATTTCAGTTGACGCATACAAAGTTCTAAGGCAAAAGAAAAAATGTTAGCATATGGAGCTGAATCCTTTCCCGATGAAGGCTGGCTATGATTTTGAGGGGCCTCAGAGCCACCAAGCATCAATGATTCTGGAGCAGTATACAATAGCTGACAAATGGCTGGGGTTCCAAGCAAAGGAACTCTTTCCTCGGACAATACAGTGCAACTTATATCAAGCCTTTCGGAGACATCATTAGCTGTAAGGCGTAGGGAGCCTCTTTTCACCCCACCACTCTGCCTAGTGGTACACACATTTTTTCGCAATGATTCATGAATCCTAACAAACTCAAGCATCTCTTTCTCTAAATCCATCTTTTTTGTATCGTTCGCTTTACCGAAGTCGGTGATGATGATATTCAGCATCACTTCAATGATCCCTGACAAAATCAATGAAGTGCCTTTGCGCTTTTCTTCTTCTAGAGGTGTAGAACTAGCATCCTTGGTTTTACCTAATAAGCCTGGTATAACATAGAAAAAAACACCAAGAATCATGACTTAATTCCTGTGAATGATGAAAGGACTTCCTTAAGAAGAGCAGACTTGAGAAGGGGAAAAATTTGATGAAAACAATATGTGTGGCTATGCTTGTAAATCACATATGCCCTTTTAGTATAGCTAATTAGCACAGAAACTATAGACCTTGATTTGGGAAAAAATATAAAATTCTCTCCAAAAGCCACTGACACTGCTCCCTTCATCTTCTCAGTTCTCCCGCCTTTAGGGGAACCACCACAGTGGTGTTTTGGTGGTCCCCCATCACCTTTGCGTACACACACCCTCCCATACCCTACTATTGTGGGATTCTATTGGGTTGCTATTGTTGTTGTTGTTGCATGATTTACTTTCATCGATCTCAAAACTCTTAAAAAAATAGTTCATGTCCTGTTGAAAATCAGCAAATCAACGGTTGTGGCTTCTGATTCTATGTCTGGTTTATGGAATGAATATAAATGATATTGATAGTGTGTCACAAAAAAATAGCAACTACAGACCTTCAAAGTCTCCCTTTCTCAGAAACTTTCGGAGCTTTGAAAATGCGTTGGACAATGTCTCTGCAGACCATGCTCTTCCTTCCTGCAACAATTTGGGATAATAAGTGAGCATGGATGGTTGCAAATGTGTCAATACACTGATAGAGATGGTTAATTAAATATATTACTACCTCATTTTCTTGTGTCAGAGAGAAGCCAAATGAAGCCCATGAATTTGAAGAATCGCCGGTTTTACCATGTGGCTGGAGAATAAGAATCCAAGAGATGCAGGAAAGAAGGCAATCCAGTGGCTCCTCAATATAAATTTTCCCACTTTCAGATTTAACGCATTGGTAGGCATTCAACTGAACATCTGCATCCTGACAACACAAAAAGACTTGCTTAAAAGCGGCCATTTAGAAAAGGGGGAGTAAATCTGGCTCATGTACTTTCTAGATAAAGTTCAATTGGTTCAATATTCCACTTTGTCAATAAGCCAAAATCATGTGCATACATACTTGTACAATTCTATGCACGGTTTACGATCCAAAGAATAATGCATGGTTACCTCCTTGTAAAACTGAAAGAAGTGAGGCAAGAGAAAATCAAGAACAGGCCCAGCAGATAAAGGATCCACCAAAACAAGCTTAACCAGTCCATAGTAAAGGATCTCTCTGACTCTTGCCTAGTAGCAAAGAAAAAAATGAAAATTCAATTCTACATACTGGCGGTAAATTGGTGGTCCATGATTTTTACAGCACAACATCAAACAAAGTATAATACCCATTATGTTGGGGTCTATGGATCACAGTTGATGCAGCCTTACCCCTGTAGAACACACCACAGAGAGTCTGATTTTGTTAGATCCTTAATCCATGGTTTTTATTAAATGAAACAAAAATTTAAACCTGCTGATAAAAGCATCTCTGCAGCGATCCATTAAGCTCCAAGAACAAACCAGATTCAGCTGCACATAGAACTTCAGCCTGCTGGCTACAACTAGCTTGGCTGCTTGATTCTTGTAAAGAAAATGTATCGGCTCTTTGATGTTGTTTTTCTCCCAATACCAAATCAATAATGGAACTGATTGCTGCATAACGAACTGAATCCTCTCTTCTAAACATAGCTTTACGCAAGACTAGAATGATATAATCCTGTACCATCGATAAGCTAGCATCAGTAATATATTCCTTCTATCCCATAACTAGGTTTCAATGACTCTTCTTCCTGGAAATCAGATCAGCCAAATTCCAGATTGGCGTGATATTCATTTGTTGCAAGATCGACACAAAACTAACTAATTGGTACAGAAAAGCAACAAAAATATGAGTTTCACTACCTGGAGATCATGACTTTGTTTGACGAGAGGCAAAAGGGCAGTAACCAAATGAGAGGACACCTTGCCATTCATGAATGTAAAATAATCCAATAATGCTTTCAGATGTGAGATATGTTCAAGCATCGGATATGAATATCTCCGGATTAGACAACCAAGCAGTCTACATTTTAAAACAAAATTAGAACACAATACCAAAAATGTAAAGACGTTAAACTACCAATCACAATCACCTTACAATCAGAAGACCTTGTTCAGGATTCAAAGAAAGAATGCGGAGTTTGCACTGCTCAATTATCTGCAACATTTCAATAAGCTTGATGATCTGGAAAGCATCTCTAATGCATTATACAATCTCGGTGTATGTGCATAGAATGGAGGAAGTACATGAAGTCATAATTTTTCCTAATCCCCTACTACTGTGTTTCTGCTTTACCTCATTTCTGGCCATATCATGAACTTCAAATATACTTCTGAGCATAGCAGTACCTAGTTCCTCAGGACCCATGATGCCATCTAACTTGTTGAAGTCTTTATGGCTTCCTTCCTCAACACCTTCAAGCATTAAAAACCCAAGTTGTACAATGTTGGGCACCACATGCTCCCTTCCACAGTTGCTCTCATTAACCTGCTAAGAAGAAAAACAAGTGGTCTAATAATATATGACACCATATGCAGTAACAACTTCAAAATTCTTTAATTTTTTTCATGAGAATCCAGCCTTATATTTATAGGCTTGTTTGACTAGCATATGCTACAGCTTTCACCGCCATATGCTGCTACTGAACAACTCAAGTTGAGGTTCTCTTCTTCATTTTTCCAGAAGAGCATGTATACGTTACTGTTAGATACATGCCAAGGAGTGCATGTCTAGATAGATATATGCAAGGAAAAGCAAAGATAATTTACGGTTCTAAGCAGTGCTTTCTCCATTACTCTTGCTGTCTTAAAATACTCTTCCTTTAAGTCACCTGACAACCATTTGCAAACCCTGAAATACGAAAACAGATTTATACACAACACTTTAGAGGCAATTATATAATGGAAGAACGCACTATCACAAGTGCTATCAAATTATCCAGTAGGAACTTAAATGCTCAATGATGGCATCAATGTACCATTCATCAATCTTGCATGTTTTACATGAGGTGACAATAATAGTGCCCTTACTAGACAAAATGATACTAACTGTGCACAATCTAGTGGGGGACAAATGTAGTACTCCCATGCTGAATGGCTCGTTTAAGTTTCAGAAATATTCGTCGTTTGTTTCGACAAGAATTCTGAGGGTAGCACGCGAGTCACTTGGAGGCTTAGGATCGTTGACTGTTGTTTTGACGTTGTCGTTTTACTAATTTGCGTGCTGTTAGACTAGACTGATCGGGACTTTGAAGAACCGGGTTTCTTCCCAGGACGAACTGACGAAAGTTCACATGAAGCAACACTGTTCCTTCAACTTGCCTCCCTATAGAGCCCCATTTTCCTGCCAAATTCTCCCCGAAATGCATCACGATACCTTCAATAACTTCCCTCTTCCCGAAACCTTTTGATGCCAAAACCAACAACTGATACACAAGACCTGGCAAGTCTTGTATGTCCACATTCTTCATTCCATTGAAGATCTTCTCCAGCAAGTCCTCTTTCTTATTTTTATAGAGAAAAGAAAAATCGCTTAGAATCTCCACTATTTTCAACAGGAAAACATTACTCCAGTTAAAACTAAGCATTCTATCGACAGCTGAATTAAAATAATGGATGGGATTATCCATTTCTCTGGACGTTCTTATCAGTCGAAGGCAGTTCGAGAGAAGAACTAGAATGTGAGAATCATCAGGGTCGGTAATTTGGTGGACATAGCACAGAACTTTGTCGGCGATGGAGACCAAATCTGAAGATGAAATGTAGTCGAGGTGGGGGGTGAATAGCTGGATAGTATAGAGGGAATGTCGGTCATGGGGAATTTTACTGGAACAGAAAAGAGACGTATATGAGAGGATAAGGGTGGATGTTAGAGAGAATAGGGAAGGGTGGAGTTGAGTCAGGGAGAGAAGGGCGGAAACATACTCCGAGACAGAGAGTGATGAATTGGGAACGGCGGCGCGTGCGTGGAGGTGGGAGATGAGCTTCTCGTGTGAGGCTTCGCTGAGGAGGAACTGAGGGAGGGGGGTAGATGAGTGCGGGTGGTATTGTCGGGCTAGTTCGACTATGTCTGTATCAGAGAGCAGTGGAGCCGGCGGTGGGTTGCCGACGGCGGAGGGATTTCGAGTTCCGGTGGTAGCCATGGATTCGAATTTTGCTTTGGCCACAGTTGAGCCCACAGTGGCCTCGCGCGGGAGATGATTCCCGAATCAAGATTGAGCACACAGTGGCATTTGTTTTGGCATCGAGTTTTTTTTTTTTCTTTTCTTGTTTAACAATGTCAAAACTTCTCACTTGAGGCAGGAAATTCCCTCTTTAAAATTTATAGGGAAGTTCAAGGGTAAATTTCACCAATGGTACCTGAACTTTAGCTGGAATTTCGAAGTGGTACCTGAACTTCAAATCCTTTCACAAAAATCCCTAAACTTACACAATCCTTTCACTAATGAGCCATTAGCCCGTTTCTAGGTTAACTTCCGGTCATTAGGGCCAAATTCGAATTTTATATATTTTAAAATTTTCAATTTGACCCCATTTCTTCTTTTCTTTTCTTCTAGGCCCCGCCGCCGCCGCCCGCCGGTCAAAGTCGCCGGAAAATGAACTTTTTCCGATTCCGGCGGGACCAA